CATCGCCGCATCTTCGCCACCCTCTCCCGTCATAGAGGTGTGATTCGCATTTCCATCAAAAGCAACTTTCTCCGCAACCACATGCAGGCCACGAGTTATTTCACTGGCGTCCTGTGGGGAGTGTTATCCGGAGCAGCTGACCGCACTTGCCACAGAAGAGCAGAGGCTAGCGTTTTTTTTGGATCATTGGATGATAAAGAGCAGAAGGAAGTTCCTTTGTCAGCTCCGTTACTTTCCGATCATTGCGGAGATAGCCTGGGTTATTGCGGAACAAGGTCCCACAGAGAACCACTGAAGTTGCATTGAAAACAGCTGGATCCCCGTAAACTAAAATGAGAATCCAACAAATGCTTGAAACGTTCCTCGGTCTCGGCATCGACGATGGACTCCGGAAGGCGGTTCCAGTCATTCACAACGCGAGTGGATAAAGCCAGGCTGGATCGCACTCGATGACTCCTCGGTTTGAACAGTTTCAAACTGTGGCCTCTTGTCGAACTCTCTGTGTTGAGATGAAAGAATTCCTGTAATTCCCTCCCCAACTCTCCTCTAAGAATACGTCGGGTGAAGATCAAATCTCCGCGATGACGACGGTAATCCAGAGAAGAGGTTCAGTTGTTTGAGTCGGAAAGAATAGGACAGGTCCATAGCTCAGGAACGGATTTGGATCCACGCCGTTGAACCTTCTCAATCATATCACATTCGAATTTCGTAAGAGGGTAGGCGGCAGGTAGCCCGTATTCGAGAAGCGGGCGTACATGTGAAGTAAACAGGAGTCGGAAGAGCCCCGGGGTCAGGCGAGAGAAGGCTCTACGTATAGAGTGAAACATCCTGTAGGCCGCAGCGACCTTTTTCTTGGTATCTTCATTAGATTTGAGGTCAGGCGAAAGTATCACTCCCAGATCCCTCTCCTGAGTGGCGTTTCTGAGCAAGGAACCACCAATATGGTAGATTCCAAATGGGTCAGACGCACCAACTGGAAGAACCGAACATTTCTCACGATTCATTGGCAACTGCCACTTAATTGACCAATCATGTAGCAGGTCGAGTGTCGATTGTAACCTGTCAGCATCTTCCATACTGGATACCTCCATCCACAGCTTCAGGTCGTCGGCGTAGATTAGGCAATCCGCCTGGAGTGCGGACGGTAAGTCATTGATGAAGACGTTGAAAAGCACGGGGCCGAGGACAGAACCCTGTGGGACTCCACTAGTCATGAGAACAGGGGCGGAAAATGTTTCGTTTACTTGCACCTGCATCGTGCGGTCGTGAAGGAAGTCAGAGATCCAAGAGAGAAGATTCCCGGCGATACCGATTCCTCGGAGTTTAAGCAAAAGTCGTTCGTGCGGGACCCTGTCGAAAGCTTTGCTGAAATCAACAAACACAACGTCCAGGCGTTTACCGGAATCTAGCGACTTCGCCCATTTCTCCTTAGCAACTAGTAAGTTCGAGGTACATGAGCGTGCCCTTCGAAAACCATGCTGTGCACAAGAGAAGACATTCAGTTCCTCGAGGTAGAGATGAAGAGCCTGCTTCAAGATCCGCTCCATAACTTTACACAATATCGACGTTAAGCAGATTGGACGATAGCTGGCTGGATCTTGCCTGTTCCCTCCTTTGTATATGGGTTTGACAATGCCCACTTTCCAAGCCGACGGGAGACGCCCAGCTTCAAAGGAACGACGGAAAACCTGACAGATAGGAGGGGCGATGTACTGCGCCACAGTCCTAAGGAACAGGGGTGCAACCCATCCGGGCCGGGTGAAGAATGCGGATCTAAATCAAGGAGAAGTTTAACCACAGAATTGATGTTAATGTCTACTTGATCCAACAGATAAGGAAAACTGGACACAGTGTTGTCGCAGGCGGGAGTTTCTTTCGCGAAGACAGAGGCGTACTGTTGGGCCAAAAGACTGGCTTTATCAGCGTCTTCGTAAAGTAAATTTCGATGCTCAAAGGAACACAAGGTAGGGATGCCACTGCCGGCCTGTGCTTCTTTTCAGATAAGAGAAAAGCATTTTGGGTGTCGTTCTGGAGTGTACTGCTAATGATAGTTCATATTGTTGACGTTTCTGACGCTTCAACGTGACACAAACATTCCTGATAGTCTTGTAGGAAGAGTAATCGGACTCTGTTTGAGATTGCCTGAAATGATCCCACAATTTGCGCCTTCTGTTCATCAGAGATCTCAATTCACTGTCAATCCAAGGTGGACCCTCTTGAAGGACTTTCTACGGGAGAAAGGAACGACCTGCTCAATTAGGGACGTCATTTTGGAGAGCACAAGGTTCCACGCATCATCAAGAGGAATGGGATCAGGAATACTCCAGTCCATAGCGCTTGCGGCTGTTCTCAGACGGAGTGGATCCGCATGCCAAAAGTTCCGACGACAACCACCTTGGCTATGGATCGTGAGGCGACGTGTCCATTGGAATGAAACGACACAATGATCACTTTTGCCGATGGGTTGAAGAACTGTTAGATTCGTGACATCTGACTGAGCTGGGGTGAGCACAAGGTCCAGAATGTTTGGCGTTTGGTCGGCAACAATGCGGGTTGGCATGGTGACGTGCTGAAACAAATTACAATCGATAACGGTCTCAAGTAAGGTAGCATCAAAGGAATCAGGTGGACGACCACAAAGAAGTAAGTCCCAATCGATATTAGGGGCATTAAAATCCCCCACGATAAGATTGTCCTTTCCTGCACCGTGTTTCCTGATCGAATCGAGCAAGTGAGCTCCGGATCCCGATGGCGCTCTGTAGACGACACCAATCGTGAAGGATCTGCATCCATCATGAATACGGCACCAAAGGGCATCAAAATCACCATCGTCGTCACTAGTAGCTGCAACCAAATGGGCCTTGAGTTCGGTCTTCCAGTAAAGTATGACGCCGCCACCGGGCCTACCTCCAAGGCGGTCGGCTCGACAGAGACTGTATCCGGGGATAGAAACCTCTGAATCTATGATGTCCGCAAATAGCCAAGTTTCGGTGAAGGCCATCAGGTCTGGGCGAGTATCTGAAGCAAGCATCTGTACCTCATCAAGTTTATTTCTCAGACTGCGTACATTGGCGAAAAGTACACGCAGTCCGTTCTCATGCTCTACTGTCCTGGGTTGAGGAGAATTGGCCTCCAACGGGTTCTCGGGGTTCTCCGGATTACGCGAAAATCCACGATGTGGAGGTCTGTCTCACCATTCGCTCGGCGGGACCGGAGCTCATCAACGGCTGTTTTCATTTTAATCTGATCTTCCGGAGAAAGATTTCTCAGGACGTAAAAAGGCTCACCTTTCAAACGTGGGGTTCGCCGGAGGATGCGTCGGCATTCCTCTTCGCTTTGGCATACGATCTTGAGGGGGCGTACCTTAGAAGGATCCTCTTACTTCCTGCCCAGGCGGAAGGCAGAGATAATGTTTATACCCAATTCACCATCGAATAAAATGGAAATCATTCGCTCAAGGAACCCTTGGTCATTCAGCATCCTTTCTGCAGTGGTGTCTTTGGTGGATTCTGGCGCGTTCACAATGATAAGACATCGTTCACGAGAGGGTGGTAGAGCGCGGCCAGAGATCTGCGGCTGTGGTGACGCACTGTCCTTGATCAACTTTTCCAGCTTGTTGACTTTGTCGAGAACAGATTTCATTTGGGACTGGGAAGCAGTTTTCTTGGGTTTGGACTTAGACTTCGCCTGAACATTACACATAGTTTGACTCCGACCAATTGGGACAGTGGGAGTTTTCCGCACCACGGCTGCGTATGTCTCAGTCGTGGGCTCACTGGGCAAGGCGTGTGTCAAAAGCTCCGACTGGGAAGCAGATGGAACTCGGCTTCGTTTACCCGTGGGGGTAGCTGAGCCGGAATTAGGTGTGGACGAAAAATGTGATGAAACAAGAGAGTCCAATGCAGTGGAAGCTTCAAACTTCGTTGGAGTAGAATGAGGGCTCAGGAGTGGCAGTCCGGCGTGAAGGCGTCGACTGTTTAATGAAGTACGGCAGCGGCTACAGGAAACAGTGATAGCCGAAGTAGTGTATCGTTGCAGAGACTCATAGAGTTCAGGACAAATGTCGCAGCAGGCAATATGCAGCCATCCGTCACACTCAGAGCACTGTACGGCCTTAGAACGCGAGGTCACACCTTTACTGCAGCTCAGGCATTTTGACGTCATAGCTAACAACCCGGATAGCTCTTCCCACTCGATAAATCGAAGGCAAATACCTCACAAAATCCGAGAACTTGGAAAGGGCGACGCTATTCGCAGACCTTTGGTATATCCCGAACGGTTCAGGGGCGCCTACGGGAGAACTGAGCATTTTTCACGATTTATGGGCGATTGCCAGTCGACTGACCAATCGTGTAGCATGTCCAATGATGCCTACAATCTGTCAGCATCCTCGAGACAGGATACCTCCACCCACATGTCATCGGCGTAAATCAGGCAATCCATCTGAAGCTCCGATGGGAGATCATTAATCAATATCTTGAACAGTTCTGCACCAGTTACCGACCTTTGCGGAACACCGTTAGTCATGAGCACAGGAGCGGAGTAGGCTTCATTCACCTTGACTCGCATGGTCCGGCCATCCAAAAAAATCAGCGATCCAAGAAAGCACATTCCCAGAGACACCGGTACCTCGGAGTTTAAGAAGGAGCCTTTCATGGGTGACCTTGTCAAACGCCTTGCTGAAGTCTACAAAAAAAACCACATCCAGGCGTTTCCCAGCGTCTAATCACCTTGCCCAGTT